CTGCTGTAACCCATGGCGATAGGCCCCATTCAGTCAAATAGCCCGTCAAACAATCCCTGGCTCTGTGTGTGTGTGGGTGTGTGTGTATTTGTATGTGTTTATGTTTAGGAATTGACTTGCAGAGTGGAGGAATTCCAACATGTTGATGAAATGAGGTTGACCCTTCAAGGCGACCTGCTCCTACGTTATTCCATTTCTTCTTTGGTCTCCACGTTTACATCGATTTTTTTTTTTTTTTCTGTAGCTGACATTGTCTCAGGAGACCTACTAACCCAGCCAGACATTTACAAACAGAATGAAAACAATTAAATTGATCGACAGATGGAAATATGTAGGCCGTTTTTAAGGTGAAAGAAGAAACTGAATTTGTTTTCTATTGTATTCAGATTAGTTATTATTTGAACTCTATTACAAAAGAAAGAAATAAAGTAATTTTTCATTTGTGCTAAAAATCTGTTGCTTGTTAGATTTTCATTTGATGTCCATACATGGCTCACGTAGCCATGTATGTGTTTCATTTCGTTTTTTTTGTTTCGGTTTTTTTTTTTTTTTTTTAGTACACACACACACACATGCATGGATGCGCCCCCGCTCAGAGGGAGGGTATTGAACAACCAGCAGCATATGTTCCACTAGTCAGAGAGCATTCATTGAAGGACAGAGAGAGGAGGAGGAGGAGGGGGCTGTGGAGGGGAGAGAGATGGAGATAGGCGATAGGCAAAAGAGCGAGAGGGAGGGATGGGTGGAGGTGGAGAGAGATAAAGGAGGATGAGAGAAGGGATGGAGGGAGTTAATTGGAGAAGGAGAAGGGAGGGAGTGACAGAAAGCTCCGACTCACCACTGGAACCAAACACACTGACTGTGCTGATGTTGACATGGTGGTGAAGAGAAAGGCCCCACCTTTGTCTTATGCTGTTGAAGAAAACAAATTGGAGAATAAAGTTTCCAGTAATAAATGACTGATTAACTAATATTTGCTTGGGTTTAAATTGAGCTGTTCTTCAATTCAATTCCTATTTTCTGTATAATTAGTGCCAATTTATGTAGTTATTTCCAGGAAAGAAACTGCAGTTTCCAGAGCCCAAATTGTTCTTTCTGTATGAATCCAACCTGACTGATCAATCCCACAAAGAATTTACATGAGTACTTAACTAAATAAACTAAATAAACGAGAACAGCACTCCACCACATGCAAACTTTGGAAAATAATCACTGTCACTGTCAAGGTGGTGAGTGTGCATAATTAAAAACTAACTAATAATTGTGTTTTTACTGTTGCATTTTAATTCTCAAACTCCAAGAAAAAAGGTACACGTTCACGGCCAGCTTCAGACCTGGTTGTTGGTTTAGTATAGGAGATGAGAGATCGAACAAGGAAGATCCAACACATTTTAGGTTACCAAAATAAAGCTAAAAGTCAGTTTTTCTTATGTGCTCTTTCTTCTTTGTCCAGTTTCCTCTTCTTTCCCACTACTACCTCCCTTCTTTAATCACCTCCCCTCTCTCTCACTGTCCATTTCCACTAACTACTACATCAGGCAGGAGTCTAGCGTGCACTGGTTACTCACACACACAGAGCTGTCTGGGAGTTGTTCCCTCTGTGTTTTGGCCCCGGCTAAAGAAAGCAGTTTATATTTATAGACTCTGCTGTAAATACAGAAGGGTTATATTTGGTCACTATGGCTCAGTGTATTTTTGGAGGCCTGTGTCACTTTGGTGCGTGCCTCTGTAAAATCCACTAAAACAACAGCAAAATAACAGAGCCATTACTGTCGCCAAGATTCCTTCTTTGTATGTGTAGACACACACACACACACACACAGAGAGAGAGAGAGAGAGAGAGAGAACCAAGAAAACAAACAGGCCTTCTTCTTTGCAAGTCTATCTGAATGCAACAACAGTTTTTTCGATTTGAGAATGACCTATTAAACACATTTAGAAATACAGTTGCTGTATTTCTAAATGTGTTTAATAGGTTTTCCTCTGCTCACCTAAAGCTCATCCTGTCAGAAAAGGGAAAACACCAATTAGGAGGTTTTTACATAACAACACTTTAATCTAAAGGTACTTGTTAACTTACTAGAACATATGTTAATCACTGTATAATAATGACAATTACCCTCTATAACAGCTGGTTTGATGGCAGTTTGCTGATGTGTTAACAAGCGGTGTTGTGGTTGAGGTAAAACGATGACTCCTCTCACATTTTCTCCCAAAATGCTGTAATTTGATGTTGCTCAGAATCTGAACAAACAAGACAGCATGCACCTCATACATCACTCACTGGCAACCCTCCTTTTAAGAGCTTACAGTCATGCTAGCTTCTCTGTGAGGCTGTACTTACACACAGTGGTGCTTTGAACTAAATGCTTATGTCAGCATGCCAAGATGCTGATGCTAAGCAGGTCTAATGTTTACCATGTTAACCATCTTAGTTTTAGTGTTAGCTTGCCTGCTAGCACTTGCTAATTAGCACAAAATACAAACAAATACAAAGTAGAACAGAGGCTGATGGGAATGTCAGTTTTGCAAGTATTGGACAAATTAACTGTTTGACTTGATGATGGTGTTCATCATACTTGCGGACCCGCTTCTATACATACTACATTCGGTGGTATGTGTGCACAGACATGTTCCACTTGCACAGACATGATGGCAACCTCCTGACAGCAAGTACGAATGCGCCTCTATTTGTTGTATTAAGTAGTAGTACAGTAATAAGTAAGTAGTATAAGTAAGTATTGTAATAAGTCAAAAAACAAAAACAGGACTGAGATTATAGTACATAGGAGGAGGCTGCGTTAATATTGATGATGCTTAGGGGTCAAACACAGTCCAAGTGGATGGACACGATTTCTTTTTATGTGAAGAAGAAGCCATATTATCATCACTATCTTGTTGCTGCTGTTTACGTTCCCCCAGATGCAAATTCAAAATATGCACTGCAGAATTATTTCCTGGTTGCATACATGTATGTATTTATGTATATAAATAACTGTTCATATTGCTATATTTAATTTATGTTTATATATTTTTTTATATATTTTATTTTCTGTTATTCTATTTAATTATCTTGTGTTTGTAGCAGGAAGGAATGTTCATTTCTTATACAACCTTATGTTGTAAAATGGATTTCCTTGATACATTGCACACTGAATGCCTGCACATGTTGGGGCTGCATTAAGAGCCAGTATAAAATAAATATGGATGTTTTTGATTGAATCATGCAAAGTTACTCTAGTGGAGTCTCAGACTAAGAATATAGAGCTGAAAATGAGCATAACAGGTCCCCTTTAATTTCTACCAGTGCTGTAGTTGACTCATACAGGGAAATGTATCTATATAACACATACAGGTAAAGTATGTGGCTGTTTGTTGTGAATAAAAATCAAAAACTCTCTTTAACTTTAATCACAATGAACATTATACAGGAAAATATCACAACATCCAAAACACCTGTGTTATACATACTGCATTATACAGTATAATCACGTAACCCCTGTCCAGAGGTAAGTGTACAATCATAAGTGTAACTCTGCTTCAAAGGGGCTATTTGCTTTGGGTGAAGGTTGATGAAGTGGTTTTGTGGTCACGATGGGATCCATTTAGGTGGCACCCACTGTGGCCACCACTGGACACTACAAAGGGTTGGCTGGTCCCCTTGGTCCAGTTGTTACACAAATGTGTGCCCAGTTTAGCCTCAAAGCCTCAAAAAGTTTAGATAAGACAGGGAGAGAATGTAAGGCAAACTGGAGTAGACAGCCTGTTGAATGACTGCCACTGGAGAGGAAAGAGGCCTGAGCCAATCCCAGGGAGGAGGCCCCCAAAGGGGGTTTGACTGTATGTCTCCCTGCTGCTGGAGGGACCACGCCCAGACCTCCACCGCACACACACACACGCAGGAAGCTGATCTGTCAGGCAGCCAACAGGGTTTCCTGTGGTTGAGGCAAGACTACCGACTCAAAGTGCTTGTGTTCTTAACTCTTCTGTCTTACCCTTTCCTCTCTCCTCTAAATTCACCTCCTCTCATCCTGTTTTCTGTTGTTTTCTCTATTCTTAGTCCTCCACATCTCCATCACCCACTCCTCTGGTGTGTTTCCTCGTCATTTCATTTCATTTCCCTCTCCCTCTGTTTACTTCTCCCCTCTCCTTTATACTCCTTAATTTCCATCTTCCATTTTGTTTTTTTCCCTCTTCCTCTCTTTTTAACCTTCCATCCCTCGCTTCCTCCTCACCACACAAAACATCCCTCCTCCTGTTATTGTTATTATGTAGAAGGGGCAACTGGACCCAAGTCATGTATGTGTGTTGCATGCCCCACCCTCGTCGCCCCTCCTCACATACACACCCACACCCACTCCGCTCACCACAGTTACTAACCCAAAAAATACAAACACACACACACACTCTGTGAATCTGCTGCCTCTGGACTGAGAGGAAAAACATGGGGTGGATGAATGTGACTCTAATAATCACCGAGCCGTCCAATTCCCTGTCCCTGTAATGCTTTCAGACTAAAGCATGAATATAAAATGTTCTGATCAACATTGTCCTCCTGAAACCTCGCCTCCCCAAAATCAGTCGAAAAAAAGACAGCTCTCCATGTGGATAGAAAAAGGGATTACAACACATAATAAGCTATGTGAGAGATTTTCCTGGACCCTCTATGATCCAACATTACAATGGTAACATTAGCTGAGAGAAGTAACTGGCAAGTTGAGCCGGATCCCTTTGCATTTAGCCAACAGCTTTTCCCGGGTGTTAAACTTTCAGTCAGACAGATAAAAGAGTTTGAAATGATTCCTGCAGAAATCAGGTTTATTTAGAAAGCTGAAGGAGGCCCACATGTACTTTGTTTCGCGCGATCCCTCTATAACGGAGGTGGTGAGTACAAAGTGAACACGACCCACAGAGTCGAATGGTCACAATTATGGGAAATACACACCAGTTTGAAATGTATAAGAATATTCCTTTAATAGATATGGCACACACAAGGTTGTTATATTCTTAGACAGAAATGTGTCTGTCTATTGTGGTGAGAAGAAACAACTCTGCCTTACAGTGTTTTACGTTTCTAAAGAGTGGGGATCAAATACAAAGATCAGCCTCATCTTCTACAAGGTCATGTTACTTTTCTTGCTGACAAATTTGATTTAAAGTATTAGTAAAAGTTTGTTTGACCATGTGCTGAGTGGTTTTTAAAAGTCTGGGGGGCCACAAAACCTGCACAAAAACACTGAGAAGTCACCACCTGATGTATTCGTGATACTTTGTAGTTAAGTCTCTGGGATCTTCATTCCTCCAGCATTGTTGGCGTTGTTTTAGGTTCACTGGATTAAATGATAATAAGCATGTATCTTCAGTCCATGTTATACATATAGCTTGTACACGCTTGTATTACCACGTAATGAGTGGACTATTATAGGAGATGAAACTCTTGGTTCTGTCACACTAAACACAGTCTCACCATAACTGTATTAACACTCTTGTTTGTTGAGAAGTTCACTCTCACGGGTGGTTTCACAGGCAAACACACACAGTAATGAGAGCACTCAGGCTGTGGAACTTTCTCCGCATCCTTTTCCTCTCTGGTGGGTTTTACGACGTTCACGGTGCTACAGGAAGACAGTCAGCATGACTCTACAGGCTATACATTCCTCATCAACCTACGTCCAGTGTAACAGAGGTTGTTCAAATAGGAAAGGATGTGTCGGCATGGAGAGAAAATGTTCCTGTCTTTGAGTTTACCAACAAGAATTAAAGCTGGATTATTGTCATCCGCAGTGACATGTGTGATATGTTTGGGGATTGTTTAAAGTTTTTCCTGTGTTGTTACAACAATGGAAAATGCAGATTTTAGATGCACCAACAATAATTTCAATTAAAATGTTTTGTAACTTGAAGCCTCTATAGGAAGGGTTAGTGTTCGTTTATCAAGTATTTTTAGACACAGCACAAATTTCTCTATTTGTAACTATTACATTACAACTTGTGTTTTTCTGCGTATGAAAAAAGAAAGTTGCCTCACTTTGTTTTTGACATTTGTCATAAATGGCTCTTGGTAACAGTTTATAGAAGTGAAGAAATCTGAGGCAATGATGCCCTATTTCAGTAGATATTCGATACCAGCATTACTGTTTCTCTAGTCCTTTAAAAGGATAATGCCACTAGATACACACAGCTTTTAAGATCTTTGTCCTTTTATTGTCACAGATAAGAGGTAAAAACAGGCTTGAGGATTAACCATTAATCCACTTCTCAGTGCATGTTTGAAGTAGCTCATTTCTGTTTTTTTGGCGTGTGCTCACACGTACTGTTCATTTTCTGACACAGTAAGATACATAAGTTGCCCTGAGACGCTTTAAGATGATTGACTTACGTATACAGAGTTGTTTTAATGTGCACAAAAAGACAAATTCAGGTTAAACTGGCAAATAAAATCATGTATTCCTAATCTCTTCACTCTGCCTCCTCCTGATAGCCATTTCTCTACCTACTGCATCCTTTAGACAAACATTCCTGACAGGTAATTCACTAATCAGTTTGTTCAGAGAAATTTGATTCCTTCATCCCTTTCATCACGTCTTTCTCATCCTCTTAACTCCTCAAATCCCCCCCTCTAATCCTCCTCTTCTCTCCTCTCTGTTCCGGGTCGAGTCATGTTCCTGATGGAGGAGGCTGTGACCATCTGAGAGGAGAGGAAACATGACATTACATATACATATATAACAGATACGAACAGAAGAGAGAAGAAGAGATACAAAAAACAAAGAAGAGGAAGATTTAAGTCCATACTGGTGTTACCTCGGGGCCAGCTGGTATCTCCCTCTGTTGTGGTACGATCGACCTCTGGCCCTCGTGTTCTGGGGTCCTCCATCGTGGAAGTTAGGATAAGAATGAGGATGATGGTGAGAATGTTGGCCTCCTCTCATCCATTCTCCTCTGTGTCCTCCTCTCCCCCACAGTCTCTCTCTGTTGTCATCTCCACTTCGGCCTCCTCTTGCCTCCCCTCTCTCCCTCCATTCTCCTCCATGTCGATGGCCTCCTGTTGTCTCTCCTCTTTCTCTCCAGTTCTCACCACTACTTGGAGGCTGACCTGAAAGTGACAAAAGTAACATTTAAAGGACAGGAAAAGTTAGAGTATTTTCTGCATTTGCGTCCTGTCTGTGATGCTCCACGATATTCACCAGCTAGTCTCTAACTGTGTGTGTCTGCCGTTGGAGCTGAGTCAGGTAGCTTACAGTGGGTTCATCAGCTGCAGAGTGGAAAACCAAAACAATAACAATGAGCTGGAAAGAATGCCTGCTCGGTAGAAGTTGGTGATATTGACTTTGACTGCGAGTGAGCAGCTTTCACGTTGACATAGTAACTTAGTTCCCTGGTTTTAATACACATATGACGCCGACAGCTTTAACAGAACTAGTAAATGATTCTGGACAGAACCCGAGCTCAACAAACTCCGCCCCCCCCTCTCTCTTCTCTTCTCGTCAACTCCTCGCGAAACCACACCACCACAGACCATCATGGACCCTTCTAAGCTCTGTCCGCCGCAAAACCACACTCAGCTACCCCCACAGGACCACGAAAAAAAAACACAATGCCATATCACCAGCGGACTACACATCATCCAGCTCTGAAGCAAACCCACACTCTTTTTTGAAAGCCCAAACTTATTCCACAAGAAAGAAGAGAACGCTTCCCTTGAGCTGCAATCTCTACAAGCATCCCTGGGTTACAATGCTCATCCTAACCAAGTACAGAAAAAAACGCAAACACTAAGATTAAATCAATATTTTATCTACTGGTCATCTCTTGTGACCTGCTCTACCTATCACTGTGGTTAAAACCAAACTGATTAAGCTGACAGCAGAACCAGCAAACATTTTCTCCTAAACTCCTGTTCTGCAGCTAGATGTCAAACATCATATCCCTCCAGCATGTCATGCAAGCTCAAAAATGACAACCCAACTCCCTTTCCCACTTAAGGACAACACTTCTGGATAGACTGTGGCCAGATCTTGGCAACAACTTACAAAAGTGCTTGACAATGAAACACCTAAGACTCAAACTGCCAAAAGAGTCTGCTGGGCCAAAATCAGCGCCGCCCAATCCCTACCCACACCAATCCCACCTCCATGAGTGTGAAAGCGCACAATGAAAAAAGCATGCCATCCGGCAATAGCCACTGGATTGTGTCAGCTCCAAGGCCAACAAGCACCAAAAACGCGTTTCTTTACAGGTCTATTTCTGTAGTCGGTACTGTTGGCTAAAAAGTTTTTCAGTTTGTCAGCATTTGAGATCTCAGCACTAAAACGAAAGACCGGGAGACTGTGTCATGTGAAACATCTAAAAAAGATAAACGACAATTACAGAAAATATGTCATTCCTCATGTCAGTAGCGAGGGTCTTCACAAAACTGTGTCGTCAGTGAAAATGAACAATCATCCCAGATGGACACGATTCGGACGGCGAGAGTAGAGGTACATACCACATGTTTCGCAGCCAAACGAAGCAACCAATGCTATTCCGAAAACAATGAATCTGAAAATGCAGGTTGTTTTCCATCTTCACTGTTTTGCAAACTTTTTGGAAAAACAGAAATACAACCTGCGAAGAGACGTGGGAGGGAGCACGCCGTATACTGGCGACTTGCACTTTGGAGTCGTAAATTGCAAGGGCAGGCGGGCGCCAGAGGAGAAATAACTTTCTGCGCCAGGAAGACTAAAACACTCGAGGCCTGATTCCAAACAACAAACCCAAAAACGGGTCACCGATACGCA